CATTTATTCCTGCGTTCCCGTACATTTCGAGATACAATTCCAGCACTCCAGACTCCAGGCTGGCATTCCAAGCAATGGTATACTTTAGATAATTGATTTATTTTTTCTTTTATCACTTATAAAGCCATACAATGAACTGCAGAGAGTCGGGCTTCTGTACAAAGGGAAGAGAATAGCCAAGGGGGGAGTTCTGCACATTCACACATGGGTGGCGGGTAATGAGGTCGCCTTTATACACGTGACAAAGGTATGGGCACAAAGATACAAAATATAAAGGATATTTCCATCTCTATAAATACACAGAAACGGGAAAAGTGAGGGAGTTTTCCCCCTATCCCCCCCTTTTTTTTTTGCGCGCGCGCATTTCTGACCTTTTTTTTTTTTTTAATTGACATGGTGAAAAAAAACCCAAACCAAAAAAAAACCCCCAAAAAGTCATTTCTAACCTCTTCATTAACACTGATTAGCAAATAACATTGTAACATTCCCCAAATGATGACGACAACATACAACAACGGGAGAGACAGGACAATGAAAGAAATACTAAAAAAAAAAAAAAAAAAAAGGTGTTTTTTTTTTAAAGAACCCCCCCACAAAAAAAAACCCCATGAAGAACTAGTTTGAAAACAAAACAAAGACCCCGACCCCCTTTGCTGTCTCATTTTCCTGTCTGCTGAATCAGCACATTTTTGCCGCCTAGATCTGTTTTATGGTAGTGCTTTGTGTTCCTGCGGAGCCTTTCCACTGAGGCCCTCGCAAAAGTGCTTTGGGAACTTTAAGGACAAGTTTTGAAGGGGTCCCTCCCCACTAGAGGTGATGGGACCTTTGCCCTCAACTGCTGTGCGTAGCCCAACCCCCCGGACAATCGAAGGTATTAGGTCTAAAGAGGCACGCTGCTCGCTAGTTGACCCTCCCGGGATGTATCGGCAGGACAGGTGGGACCCAGGAGTCCTGGAATCCAAAGCTGCCCCCCCGACCCCATCTGGGTCAGCCTGACCCGATGACATGCAGGGGCCGGAGCAGCAGCCAGGGACGAGTCTGACCAAAGACCTGGGAAGACGAGTTTGAAGGCAACGTTTCAACTAGAGCAGCTGGAGAGATGAAGCCAACATCCCCCTGTGCTCAAGGCTGGATTGGGTTCACCTGAATAGGGAGCGAGGCACATGGCTGGATGGCAGCACCAAGGAGGAGGGGTCCAGCTGATACATACTGGGAGGGAAGTTGAAGAGCGTTACCCGGCGCTCATTGAAGACGATGGAAAGACTTCCCCTAAAGTTCCTTCTGCCTCTGTCTTGGAGAAGGGATTAAGATACAAGCAACTGAGGCCAAGTGCTTTGTCTCTGTGGTTATTACATCCAGACAGGTCGAGATGAAAGGTTAGAGACTGACTGAGCTGTTGCTTTTATCACTCAGTCTGCAGCTAAAGATGCCAGGTTCTCATGTACCCGCTCTCAACTTGCCAGGAAGAGAGAGCTCCAGCCAGTCCGCCTCAACCGGGCCTTTCTGACATTCACACACATTACATTTACCGTGCAATTCAGTGGCTAACTGCACCATATATTTAAACAGGCTACACATGAAAAGTAATAATTGCAGCATTAAAATGGCCAGCCAGGCACAAAAATGGCCAACCAGGCACGAAAACGGCCAACCAGGCACAAACACGGCACGTGAAAAACGCAGGACATTTTTGTAGCTGGTTTCTATCGAGCTTGAATTCAAACGTGTGGCCTGGCACTTACTCCAGAATGGACAGCAAAGAGGGTCGTTAAAAACAAACAAAATAAAAAGGCAGAGACAGGAAACAACAAAAAATAATAATACATATGCGGGATTGGGGGAAAGTGCGTTTCAAAGGCTATCTTTGGCAAGAATATATGCAGTTCTTTGTGCATGAAGTCAGTGTGTGTGTGTGTGTGTACACATGTGTGGGTGTGTGTAAGATATAACATCCACTGCTGGGGGGGAAAAAATGGCAGTGAGATTACAACAAAATGTTCGCTGGGCTAAATGGCATTATGTGTCCATCTCAAATATGGTGACTGCATCGAAAGAAACCAACCCAATGCCTTTGCTGGTCCTTTCGAACACAATAAAATGAACATGGACAGTGAAGCCAGGCTGTCAGCTGGCATACATTGGCGTGGTAGCTGGGTGGACATCAGCAAAGTTATACTGGGCATGTCTACATGTGTGCTTTAATCCGCACTAACCTATTTTAATGCACATTAACTAAATAGCATTTTTTCAGTGACACTTTAATGTGCATTAAAATATGCTAAAGTGAATTAAAGCGCATGTATAGACATGCCCGGGAGTACTAGGTTTACTGCGCATTATTTAAAGCACATTAATGAACGTGCAGACGCGCCCACTGATGCTTTGGCTCGGTGAATCCAGAAAGTTACCCAGAAAATGCAACTTTCAACCCAAAGTAAACACATCTGGAAAAAAAGCTGGTTAGTTCCTTACTAGCTTTGTGTTATAAATACAATCTATGGGCGACCTTAGCATTCGAGATTTCGACAGGGTCTAAATCTTCCGTCTTCAGCAAGTGAGTTAGTATCTGAGCCATGAGCAGGTCACAGCGGAAAGCAAGTGTTTTGTCACTGTCGGGTCTCGGCTGCGGTGGGGTTATACATGAGATCGCCGGGTTAATTTGATGGGAGCTGCTCTCTGAGTTTTGGGTTCGAGCCCCCATTTTGGACAGCGGGCCAGCGGCTTGAAATCAAAGAGAAAAAAACCCAACACTGGTTTTAGCGGTGAGGGAAAAAAAATAAAATAATGTAGTCTGAAAAATAGAGACTTGCAAAAATATATCATCTTTATATCTCTATAAACACAGTGTTTCTCTAATCAGTTAATGGCAGGGTGAGAAGGTCATGGCTGAGCGGTCCATCTGCCTCGAATTCTGCAGAAGGAGGGAGGTTTCTATTGTCAAAAGCAACTTAAATGCTATAAAAAAAAGGCCTCAACCGTAGGGTGGGACGGGGGACGCGGAGCCCCCGTCAATTCTTCCATCCACGCAGCAGTCTCTCAACACATCCCCAAGACCAACCAAAGGCTTCGACGCGCACGCAGCCGCGTCCCGCACATGCACACACACACGCACTCACGCACACGCCACCGGCCCTCGCGTCTCACGGCAATGGGGTTACAGCTCACGCGCTTTGCATGCTTCGCTTGCTCTAGGTGCTAACGAGTTCCTGTAGGCCGAAGGAAGGGGAAGGGGGAGGTTGGGGTCTGTAAGAGGTGGGTCAGGGAGGGGAGGGGAGGGG